TCATCCTCCCACATCCTCACCTCCTCCAGGGTTTTCCCCGACCAGCCCCCCTTCCCCTCTCCCCCCTCCCCTCCGTGTCCCCCTCCCCCTCGCCGTCCCCGCTCGCCTTCCTCACCGATGGTTTTCACGAACACAAAATCTGAAACATAAAATGAAAAATGAAACATACATGTTTCATGTTTCACTTGTGGTTTTTGTGTAACTGAAACGTGGCCGTGAAATTAGCCATGCATGTTTTCCAACACGTTTCTGGATTCATATTTGTCATGTGTTATGTCCCTGTGCAGTCCTCCTTGGTCAGCTTGTCGCGGTTCGCCTCGATGACTGATGTCTCAGTCGGAGGGCGCTTGGACGTGATCCGCCTCCTCTTCACCTCGGAGCCCGTCGTGCCCTGGTCGACCTTCTTGCCGTCGCCCGTCTTGTCTGCCTTGGTCTTCTTGCCCTTGCCGCTTATGGCAATGTAGTCGCGTGGAGTGGGTGCAGGCGGTGGTGCAGATGCCAAGGCCTTTAACGTTTCAGCTGTCAGCGGCATGCCACCAACCTGTTTGGATTTTCCACTTGATTTCCAGAACAGCTTAGCTTCGAGCTCGTCGATGTCAAAAGGCGCTTCTCGATAGTGGTCTCCTCATCGGTGCTGGGGACATCGACCAGCGGGACCTTAGGCTTGGGTGGGACGGGATTCCCCACGACTTCATCATCATGATGATCATCAGCTCTGTATTTGCTCTTGTCGATGTCCCTGCAGGCAGCCATCTTGTCGATGATGATCTGGAGCTGGCCGTGACCTTTCGGTGCTCGATTGGTGGTGCGGGCAATACTCTGCAACGACATCATCATAACACGCAAGCCGTATATGGATTTATCTGAGTCAGTGTAGCTCCAGGTCATGGTGTTTCTGGTCAACCACGCGTCAAATTGTTTTTGAAACAACTTTTGATTAGGCACCAACCCTCCTGATCTATCAACTATGCCATTGATCAAGTTGAACTGCTTTGATACCAATGCCCATGAACTCGTCAAGCCTTGCTTGGTCACCTCAGGACCGTTCCATAGCACACCAGGTTTGCAACTAGAGACCTGCACGGGATCCGAAAAGAGATCGTATGAGACATCGTTTGGTAAGTCAATCCCCTTGGTACGTTTGGCCGACATGCTCACACGAACCTTCGAAACCAAAAAAAGCTGCGGTGATGATGAGGGTGGTGATGGTGACGGTGGGAGACCTCAGGGATTCTGTGGATCTTTCCAAGCCCCACGGCCTTCCCAAACCCCAGGATCATGTAGTAGTAGTAGTAGTAGTAGTAGTAGTCGTAGCAGTAGCAGTCGCACTAGCAGTAGCAGCAGCAGTAGTAGTAGTCGGAGGAGGCGGAGGAGTAGGAGGAGGAAGAGGAGTAGGAGGAAGAGGAGAGGTGGAGAAGGGGGAAGGGGCGAAGTGGAGGGGGAGGGAGAACGGGTGGAGGAGGTGGTGGAAGGGTGGTGCCGGCCGCGAGAGATGGACGAGGAGGAGGAGAAGGATGAAAAGGAGGAGGAGGAAGATGATGATGAGGAGGAGAAGGAACAGGTGGTGGAGGAGGTGGTGGAGGAGGAGTTGGAGGAGGAGGGGGAGGAGGAGGAGGAGGAGGAGAAGGAGGAGGAACACAACACGCTCCCAGCGCATGAATGCCCTCTCGCTCGAAACATCCTCGAAAACACTAGGAGGAGGAGGAGCTGGAGAGGAGAAGGAGGGGGAGGGGAATGGAGGAGGAGCGAGGAGGAGGAGGAGCGAGGATGAGGAGGAGGAGGAGGAGGAGCACAAAACGTTCCCAATGCATGAATGCCCACATAGAGCTGGAAGCCCAAATCTGGACACACGCACAGCAACCCAACTGTCCATACATGGGCGGCAGCCAAAATGTGACACATGGGTGGCAATTTACGTCTGGGCATATGGGTTGCCGCTCATGTGCCCGCGTTTGGGTCGGTAGCCGTGCGTGGACACGTGTTGGCACCCGTGTGTGCACATTTGGTCGTGTCGCACATACGCACACGCAAGCACAGGCCACGCACAACACCTGACCAAAGCATCCGCAGGCAACCACTAAATACGAGCTACCAACAGCGACCATCTGGACATTTAGGGGAGCCCAGCGACTGCATCCATGTGCTCGCATGCGCGCTGGTTGCAAATCCATGCGTGCGTGCGCACGCAAGCTCAGATAAGTGGCGCTTCCCGTTCTTGTCCGGAAAGGTTTCTTAGACAACGTCCCGTTATTAATGAGCAGTCGTGTTGGTTCCTGTGTGCCCATGCAAAAGTCGACCCCGTGGACGTGCTTGAGGGATCCAGCCAGTTTGGCTGTCCCGTAGTGCGAGTAATTCTAGAATATGGCAATTATCTGCATCTGCCGGGTGTGTTCAGCTTGCGAATACTCTCCAGATTCCGACGATTACCAGGGCTTTTAGCAGCGTGCGCATGGAGTGCCATACGCACGCGGTTCCACAGTCACGTTCGTGTTCAGATTTCGCCGCCCGTTCTGTTTCCCTTTGCCTTCCTCCTCCGCTCCCCCCTCCTCTTCCTCCTCCCGGGCTTTTGTGTGCGAAGGTCATAGTGTGTTGTCATTCGAGGTTTCACCTTGTCGCGCCAGTTTTGGACACTTGCCCAGGCAACACCGTCGGGGCCCTAAGGAACCCTTTTCGTTGGGGAGGGACTCGGTGTTCCTTGATTGTTCTGCAGTTTGTCTCCGGTTGTCCTGAGGTGTTCCATGGGAAATCGAAGTTCAATGTGTGGGAGAAAGGGGCCGCGCTCCTTATTTAGAGTTCCTTAGGTCAACGCCCCGACGGTAGTTGTCACGGGTAGCGCTTGCCTGTCCCCGCCGCGTGGCCGATGCAGTCTCGCGGTGTCTCTGACATGTTGACACTACGGGGGAGATGTTGCACTAGTAATTTGCCCAGTGCCTAGGAAGAACCAAATACTATCCCGCCCATTGCGCTGTGCAGGTGTTTTGCTATGCAGGCATTTTGCACCAACCTCCCAGAGCCCAGGGGGGGGACATTTTGATAACCTCAATTCCGGCCCTGTGGATGCTTTTCGCGTTCCCTCCTCACTTCCCCTCTTCCCGCGCGTGCACTGCCGTGGTCATGTGGGCGCCCTGGCTGACAGGCAGTCGGGCGATGACCTCCGTGGCCTGCTCGCCCTCCCCTTCTCGTCCTCCTCCTCCTCCTCCTCCTTCTCCTTCTCCTCCTCCTCCTCCTCTTGTTCTGGCGCATAACTGTCCGAATTTCCGCCCCGAGTTTCGGCCAAGTTCGCAGGACATACTTCTGCTAGAAACCGTGGTTTCTGTCTCTAGGCGGCATCCTGGCCAGCGCCGTTACGACGGGTAGCGCAAATTCATGTGGCGACTCACGGAGTTGGCACCGAGTGCTACATCATCATTACCACTGCTGCGAGGGGAAAAAAACAGCGTGCGTATGTAGTGGGTTTCCAACACATACAGTCGCAGTTTCGAGTTGTTGTCCCAAACGCATTCAGCTTAAGTTCGCCTGAGTGAGGGGACAGACCGGTCTAGCATCGTCCCGTGGTGGGCTATTGAAGTGGAGCTCCGCGGTGGAGATTCTTGTTGTTGATGGTGTTGGTGCTGTCGTTGAACTCCTCACTGCTGATGAAAGATTAGTGTTGGTCCCCCCTCCGGAGACCATTGTTTTTTCAATTGAAGTGCTTCCCCCGGGACTCGCACCTTGTTTTTTACAAGGGAAGGTCACGGAGCTCAAACTGGGCCCTTGGCCCCCGGTTTATAACAACAACGGCTCCCGCTTGGCATTTCCGTACAATTTCTACCACATCGCGGTCTCGCGGGGGACTATCTCACAATTCATGTACGCATCGGGGTCTCGCGTGGGAGTTCTTAGCAATTTATTCAGACGATGCGCCCTCGGCGCTCAGGAATCACGCTCTCGTTTTGGCTCTTCTCACGATTTACTTCGGAATCGCGCTATCGAGACGTCCCTGCGATTCATGCAGGACCCACGCCACAGCAACCCGCCTGCTCGACCTCGTCGCCTTCCAGACCTGCTCGCTATGGGTCTGCCCACCCGATCTGCCCGTCTGGTTTTGGCATTTGTTTTCTGCTCCTTGCCCCCCTCCTGCTAATATGTCTCGTGCCCCATCCTTCGCCCTCCCCTTCCCACCCGTTTTCTCTTCCCTTGTTTTAGGGGCTGCACTAAATGCGCGTGGCAGGTAAGGAAGATATACACCCGAGGGGGTACGATCGAAGACGACGACGGCGGGCACCGAGGGCTTGGGATATACGTATTGATTGGCACGTGAGCAGATAGGAGCGAACAGTCTTAAAACGACGGTTGTTGTAGTTGTAGCTGTTGTTGTTCTTGTTGTTGCTGTTGTTGTTGCGTCGTCGTCGTCACCGTCGTCGCCGTCGTCCCGCTGAGCGGTCCGCGATCCAACCGCAATCCGCCCGCCACCCACCTGCGACCCATCTGCGACCCACCCTCGGCCCACCTTCGACCCAACTGCGACCTACCGGCGATCCACTCGCGACTCCTTTGCGACCGACCCGCGAGCGGCCCCGCGACCTGCCCTCGACCCACCCGCGATGAGATGCGCCCACATTGCATCGACGAAAAACGGTACTCGCGGAGGGCTGCTGTGCGCGTCTACGAACCGCCGACGACACGGCCCGCATGGCATTGAAAAGAATTCGCGGCTGCGGCCGGCTGTTTCGTATTTGATACTGGAACAACATCCGTTTGGGGGCGCCCCACGCGCGACCCATTTTGACCCGCGTTCGCCGAGGCCCGTTTCGCCCGTGGCCCCCGCCCCCTCAACATGATTCGCAATTGCGGGGGGCCCATGTAATTCTGACACCGTTCGTGGGACTCTTTGCCAGTGCTCGTGCGGCTGTAAGATTGTAGCCCTAGCTGCTGCGCGCATGCGTGGCGTTTTGGATCCTGGCTCCTATTGCGAAGCATGGTGACATGTACTCATTCGTGTTGAAAGCTGTGACAACAAGTGGTAACTGTGAGGACGGCGCCAGCACGAATATCAACGGTCGTCAGAAGTTCTACAACGCGCGGTCTGCGCCAATTCCATGCGGTGCATGTCTGCTTCGACGGTCGTGACTTCATGTGTTGGGTTGGTTTTGTTTGATACGTTCCACTGGTGTTGCAGAGGCATTGTTTTCAGCTCCCTCATGCTGCGTTCTATTTCAGTGAATGCAGCTGTTACGTCAGGAGAGAGAGAGAGAGAGAGACAAAAAGGCGCGTCGATGCCTTTTCGGGCATGGGCCGAAGTGGGGATGGCCTGCCCGCCCTCTTTTCGGTTCGCCTCTCCTAGCGCAAGAGTTCCCGGCATGGAGGAATTGGCCATTCAGGGGAATACGTCGGGAGCCCAGTCTGCATGGTTTCCTTGACGAACTCATCCCACAATTGTAACTATTGCGTCCCTCGGAGCAGTCAGTCACTGCGTTGCCTGACCCTCGCTTTTGTGTTCCATGTCCTCTGCCCATGTTTAGTGTGGTGTCGCCACATGGCGTCAAACATTCGGTGGTCCATTCCCCGCGATCAGCGCCACGGGCCAAGCACATAACAATTTCGTTCGATCGTCGAGTCGGCGGCCCCTGCCACGGTGGCAATCTGCTCGGTTCGTCACCCTTCCCTACGCCTCATGTCTCGCGCCTTGAGCACACCCAGTGCTTTTTTGCCTCGTGTCAGGCGTGTTATTGCCCTGTAGTCCAGTATCAAGCATGTGGTGTGGGTCAAGGTGCAGTGGTAGCGATCGCGGAATTGGGAACCTTGCGATTCCTAGAATACCGGCCGTTTCAGGGCCTTTGGGGGCCTCGTCGGGCCATTTGAGGCCCTCTTGGGGCCCTTTTGGGTTCCTCTTTGTGGCCTCTTGAGGTTCCCTTTTGGGCCGTTGGGGCTTCTTGGGAGCTTGCTGGGGGTCTTGGAACCGTTTGGGAAGAGGGATCATTTCCCAGCCAGTTTGATTTCCCTTTTAGACTCCTCTTGGGTGCCTCTTTAGCCCATCTTTGAGCCTGAGGGGCCATCTTGGAGACCTCTTGTGGCGTCTTGGACGCTCCTGAGGTCATAAAGGCAAGAAGTGCAACATCGTATTCCAAAAATGAGTCGACCCCAAGGGTCCCAAGACAGCCCAAGATCCCTCCCAAACGGGACCGAAAACACGCCCCAGGGGCCATCATGGGGCATATTGGAGGCCTCAATCACGAAAGTCAGTTGGGATTCGGAAAAAAAAACACGCGGTTCACTTCCAGATCCCACGAACGAAAGCGCCCAGAAGCCCGCAGAGCCAGGGGGGCCGTGGCCCTATACGGAGGACCACACCTAAGGGCATTGCATTATGTTCTAGAGGCGCGGTGGCAGATACGTTCATCCTCCTCCTGGCGCGCAGCAAATACTCGTCGAGACTTTGATGGGCTGGAATAGATGTCGCGCTTCTGCTTAAGTCGGCGCGTGCGCGAATGTCTTCGATGACTTTCGATGTGACCTGTGCTTGTTGCTCCCCAGTGCACGGCGTACGACGAGCGGCTACCATTCCAGAACTGATCATCGAATCGTTTCAGCAGCATTGCCTAGCAATTACCGGCCTCGATAGAGATGCATCTTGTGAATCTGGGAGCGGGGGGGCAATCGAGATCATTAAAGGTTGGGTACTGTAAGCTTGCAATATTAAGCAACACTTTCCTGACCTTGTCCGTTTGCATCCTGCGGGGCAGTGAGAATAATAATATGCGCTTCGGTCTTAGAGTCGTCTTGTTGGCACCGAGCCCGCGTCGAGGTTAAGGATAATCAATGACGTTCTAACTAATTCTGGCCACAGGGATGGAATTCAACTGCCACATACTGAACGGCGTTATCGGCAATCAGTGTCACACCGCGATTTCCCGCAATCAGTGTCACACCGCGATAGCGACAGGTAGACTACGCAAGCATGTCACGAGTGGGCTTGCTGCACGTTCGTAGATTTATTTCTCATGCGCTTTCGCAGCAGGTGCTAACGCTACACGTGTCGAAGTCGCCGTGCAGGGTGCATCCGTTGGCGGTGATGGCGATCGGCATCCAGGCGGCCACACACGCGTATACACAGGCGAGCAATCGTTCTTCTTTACGCAGTGCAGTTCTCGTTCATGCACCGTGAGTGGTAAGGTTCGTGCACCTAATCCTTGCAGTCGTCGTGAACCTGCCAGCGCGAGCATCATGCGAAGGATGCGAGGTAATAGCGTGCCCAGGAGTCGTCGGCCAATCCCGCCACCATGCCCAGTATGTGGGTGAAGGGCTCCTCCCTTCTCTCATCTCTCGGGTGTTTCCTGGGGGCCTGGTAGAGGTTTGTTGCAGGTCTCTTCTAGTAGCAAGAAGCTGCAGCAAGCAGACGGCAGTCTACATCAATGTGTCCTATTGCGGCCAGAACAGGTTTCAGGTGTTGTTCCTCTGTCTCAGTTGGTTCCTACGAGGAGCAGGGGGTGGAGGAGGAGGGGGTGGAGGAGGAGGAGGAGGAGGAGCAACAGGAGGACGAGGAGGGGGTGGAAGAGGAGGGGGAGGCTGAGGAAGCTAAGGATTCACCAGAGGAGGACGAGGAGGATGGGGAGAAGGGCGAGGACGAAGGGAAGGAAGGAGGAAGGAGGGAAGGTAGAAGGGGAGGGAGGGGGAGGAAGCGAGAAGGGGAGAAGCAGCGTAGTTTGGTTCCAACATGTGGACTATCGATCCGCACTTCGAGAAGCAGCTGCGCAATGCTGTATCGCAGTCGCGTGAAAGTGTCGATGCATGGTTGTTTCATTGCCTCTTGGGGTGTTCTTGGGGGCCTGTCGATGGCCTCTTTGAGCCCTCTTGGGGCGTATTGAGTGAGGGCCCGTTAGGGTCTTCGGCTGCTTTACGGAAGGGGAAGTGTGTGCTTCCATGCGCCTTCCTCGGGTCCGTTCGTGGACCCTCTCTGAGGGCCTTGGGACCGCTTCTGGCTCGCTGGGGCCGTCCTGCAGGCCTCCGGGGGGCCACTTGGGGCTCTCCTTGGGCCGTCTCGGGGCCCTCGGTGGCCATCTTGTGATCGTCTTGAGGCTTCTGAGGCGAGGCCGACCAGGCCAGGAACGCGGAATCGACGGCGCGCTACGGCAAAGGGTTGGTGATTCATTGGCTGACGCCGCACCGCCGACCCCTTGGGGTGGCAGTAAGAGTGAAAAGCGTGATTTCGGAACGATTTCTGGGGCATCTTGGGGTTTCAGTTTCTTGGGATTTCGTCGGGGGCGGTTAGCAATCGCCGCTCTGCTCTTGGGCTTGCTTGGGCTCTCCTGGCAGTACTTGTGAGGCATCTTGGGGGCCGTTTTGAAGCCTCTAGGAGCCTCTTTTGGGCCTCTCGGGGGCCTCGTGGGAGCCTCGCGGGAGCCTCTTGGGGGCCGATTGGCGCCGCCTCAAGTTTTTTCGGAGCCGAGTGCTCGAAATGTTCATTCGGGTTCCCCCTCTGGGCCTCCTCTTGGGGCTGTCCTGGGGCCCTCCTGGGTCGTTTTGGAAGCTTCTGGGGCTGTCTTGGGGGCCTCTGGGGCCGTCTTGGAGCCCTCTTGGAGGCCTCTTGGGCCATCTTGGGGCGATCTTAAAGACTTCTTGGGCCGTTGTGGGCCTCGTGAACGCCCAAGAGGCGAATGTGCCAGAAATGTACGTTGTCCCTAAGGAGCGGGACGATTTTTGCTTCAGGAGGGCCTCTTGGGGCGCCTCTTGGTGGCTTCTTGGGGCGTCTTGGGGGCCTCTGGGACTGTCTGGAGGCGGTCTCGGGCGTCTTGGAGCGATCTCTCGGCGACTCGTAGCCCTCTTGGACCGTCCGGGTGACCTTTTGGGGCCCTCTTGGCCCGTTCTGGGGCCCCCTGAGGTTCCAAGGGTGCGGCCGACACCTTTGCCCCCCACCCCCCCGCCCCCCCTCCAAACCGGCCGGGCCGGGCTCCCGGGGGAGGGGCTTGGGAACGGGGAATCATTTCACACGCCGTGACCCCAATGGGTCGGCGGATCTGGGGCTACTCGGTGGGGCCAGGGCAAGGGACGAATCTGGGCTTGTCAAGACTAGCGGCGGCAAGTGACACCAGTTGCGGGGCTAGTCGCGGCCTGGTCGGGGGGAAAAAAAATTCGAAGCAGCGAAGATGGGAGAGGGGGCGAACAAATCTTTCCGGGTCGACCTAATGTTTCCCAACCATCCTGTGTTGTTGGGTCCTCGTTTTGAAGAGACGGTCCCCGCGTCCCTCCTCTCTTCTTCTCCTCTCCTCCTCCTCTCCTCCCCCTCCTCCTTCCCCCTCCTGTCTCTCGTCGCCCTTTCACTTTGGCACAACCCTCAAGCGCTTCGTGGCCCCATAGGGAGCTCCACCTAAGGTACGAGTGGCGAACTGCGCCTGGCGGCGCCGCTCCATTTTGGCACACCCCTCACACGCTTCGTGGCCACATAGTTGGGAGCTCTACTGAATGTCCCAGTGGGGCAGTTCGCATGGCGGCGCAGCCCCGTTTTGGCACACCTAAGTTCCCCGTGGCGCAGTTCGCATGGCGGCGCCGTTTCATTTTGGCACACCGCTCACACGTTTCGTGGCCACATAGGGAGCCCCACCTCAGGTCCTAGTGGCGCAGTTCGCACGGCGGCGCCGCCTTATTTTGGCATACCGCTCACACGTTTCGTGGCCACATAAGGAGCTCCACCTAATGTCCCAGTGGCGAACTACGCATGGCGGTGCCGCCCCATTGTGGCACACCCCTCACACGTTTTCGTGGCCCCATAAGTAGCTCCACCGAATGCCCCAGTGGCGCAGTTCGCGTGGCGGCGCCGCCCCATTTTGGCACGCCCCTCACACGTTTGGTGGCCCCATAGGGAGCGCCATTTAAGGTCCCAATGGGTGTGCCCGCGTGCGGGAACGGTACTCCCGGGCAGTCTACGGCCGAACCGATTGGGCGCGAGCGTTCCGCAGGACTCTCGCCTTGGGCCGTCGGTTGTCCGGCGCGCTGCCCCCTTGTTCGACGCCCAGGCGTGATTTTGGATTACGGCCGCCACGAGGTCGGGAACGGCAAGAAGGAGGAGGAGGACGACGATTGGTGGCTGGAGCTCCACGCGCTGCTCTCGCACGCCACCCGCCACCGGGGCCTCCAGCTCATGCGGGCTCCGCGCATCGAGTTTTTCCTGGCAGGGCCGCCGGAGGGCTTGCGGAAGCGCGCACGAAGCGGCGCAGGAGGGAGGCGACGGCCCTCACCGCGGAGCTGGGCTTCACTGAGGTTATCCGCGAGGCTTGACCTGGAGGGCGGCCCACTTGAGCCGCGCCTGCTCTCGACTGCCCAACTGTTTGGCCTCGCGCCGCGGACGACCCGCGGGCGTCGCTGGGCCCTTTCGGGGCGACCAGAGCGCGTCGCGGGAGCTCCGCGCGGCGCTCTGCCCAGCGCCTCGCTCGCTCGTCGTCGCTCTGCCCAGCGGCCAGATCCTGGCCCGCCATCAGCCAGCCAGCTAGCCCTCTCTGCTCCGCGCCGCGGACGACCCGCGCGCGTCGCTGGGGCCCTCTCGAAGCGACCAGCGCGCGTCGCGTGAAATCCGCGCGGCGCTCGGCCCGGCGCCTCGGTCGCCCGTCGTCGCTCTGCCCAGCGGCCGGGCCCTTGCCCGCCATCGGTCAGCCAGCTAGCTCTTTTTGCTCCGCGAAGCGGACGACTCGCGCGTGTCGCTGGGACCCCTTCTTCGGGGCGACCGGCGCGCGTCGCGAGGGCTCCGCGCTGCGCTGCGCTCGCTGCTCTGGGCCCTGGAGTGCAAGGGCAAAGAGGGGGATGCACGAGGGGGGAAACGGGCGCGATCCTCGCGTGGGGGGTGTCGACATGGGCGTCGCGGCGCGCGGGCACTGCCGCCGGGGCTCCAGGGTGTCTATATAACCCCCGTTATACCGAGTTACGTGTACGTTGTCTCGCGCGCAAGCACAGCTCAGCAGTTTCAGCATATCAGGCGCGTTTCAAGCAGGTGTTTCGCAGGTGTCTGCACCATTGCCATTTGATGTTCAGCCCCCCCCCCCCCCGCAGTTAGAAGGTTGCGTATCTTGCGAGTTCGATGCGATTATCCAGATAATTCGTTCAATCGAACACATCCCGAGGAGACTCGCGTGCTACCGTCGGTGGATTTTGGTGGCGGAGCCGGAGGTCCATTCTCTCCAGCCCCTCCGTCGCCGCTATGCCAGACAGCGCGCCGCGCGCGCCGCCCCCAGCCAAACCGCCGCCTGGCGGCCCGCCGGCGGCCTCGTCCGCCACCCCCGCCGACGCTAGCGCAGAGGGCAGCCGCGCCGCGCCGAGCAGCGCGGGTGGTGACGGGGCCAACTATGCAGATTGGAACGGCTGGGAAGGCTGGTGCAATCGCCAGGGGAGCTCCACCTGGGGCGGAGGAGGGCGAGGCCTCGATGCAGGCTCGTCGAAGACGGCGCCGAGTTATGAGCTGCTGAGGACCGACGGTTGTCAGGCATTTCTACTCAAGCTGGAGGTATTCGAGCGATGCTGCGCTTATATATACATCGAGCGTTGCTGCGCTTATATATATATATAAATATATTAAACTAAATTAAATTATTAAGAAGAAGAAAAAAAGAAACACAGAAAAAGAAGAAGAAGAAGAAGAAGAGAGAGAGGACAAAACAAAAAAAAAAAAAAAAAAAAAAAAAACGGCACCACCGCCGTCAGCGAGGGGGCGTTTCTGGTCGCGAACTCGCTGCAGGGCGAGGCCGCGAAGGCTACGGAGGATGCGGGCTTGGGCTTGTCAGAGACGGGGGAGGCTTTCAGGCCAGCGTTCCAGGTGTTGGGCGAGTGCTACAAGTATACTAACCAGACCGAGCTGCCAGCCCGCGCAGATCATTTCTGTGGCAAGTTCGCTCGCCAGGAGAAGGAGACGATGAAGCCGTGCTGCCTGCGCCGCAAGCGAGAGCTCAGGGAGCTCATGGAGATTGGGATGGAGAGGAGATCCCAGACATGCTGGCGGGCTTGCGCCTCTTCGCGCGATCGGCCATGCCCCCGTCGGGCGCCGCGCAGGTTCGGTTTTAGCGCGTAGACGCGCCAGTTGGACTAAGGTGAAGAAATCAACGTTCAACGCGCATGGAGCCGAAGCGATGCCCG